ACCCTGAGCATTTTGGTTATTCAGAAGAAGTTGTTTAAAGGTTTTTTAATACAATTGACCCCTGTGACCTTGAATATAATTGAAGGTCATTCATTTGAACAAACTTGGTAGCCCTTCACCCAAGCATGCTACTGGCCAAATATCATCTCCCTGGGCATTTTGGTTATTGAGAAGAAGATGTTTAAAGTTTTTGACATATTTGACCCCTGTGACCTTGAAAATAGGTGAAGGTCATTTATTTGAACAAACTTTGTAGCCCTTCATCCAAGTTTGCTTCTGGCCAAATATTGACACCCTAGGCCTTTCGGTTATTAAGAAGAAGTCGTTTAAAGTAAAATATTGACGCCGGACGACGGACGGACGGACGCCGGACGACGGACGCCGCGCCACGGCATAAGCTCACTTGGCACTTCGTGCCAGGTGAGCTAAAAACCCTGAACGTTTGAGGAAAATATTGTATTTCACACTGTCATGTGTTCAGTTATATTGTTATCATAAAAAAACCTACCGAACATGGGCTGTGAGACCGGAGCTCCATTGAAGCTTGATTGCTGACCAGGTTGTGACTTTGGAGTTAAGCTGGGCTGTACCACTGGCTGTGTTGCTGTTGTGACAGCTGGAGAACCAAACAGACTGGTTGGTGTGGGACCCGGGTGAGGATTGTGTCCCACCTGTGAAAAAGGATCAGCTCCAGATCCTCCGGGCTTCTGGAACAGGTTAAAGGTTGAAGGCTGTGCGGGAGCATTTGGCCCTGGTGGCGGGGACTGTCCAACAAAACTGTCAGCTTCACCCTCTTCATCTGTAAAGCAATCAGAAGTATAAGATTCGGAGTAATACTCATATAGGCATAAAACTAGACCAATACATTCCGATTCATATATATATAAATATATAGTGATGTTATTATAAAGTTATGATCAAGGATAACATATACATACATATGTACAGTAGCTAATAAAAACAATAAAACAATAGTTTAAACATAATCTAGGAAGTTTTAAGTCTTTGCTGTTGAGATTATACTGCAAAATCAACTGAAAACACCAAATGTATATATGGTGAGATTGAGATACCTATTATTACACATTTCAATGTTCCTTTATGTCATTCTTTTTTAACTTCTTAAATACATCTCCCACAATACAAAACCCCTTAAATACATCTCCCACAATAACAAATCCCCTTAAATACATCTCCCACGATAACAAAACCCCTTAAATAACAAAACCCCTTAAACGTCAACAGTTCTGAAATATATTGCCACCAATTATGACAGTACATCAATGTTTAACGGTACTTTATTTTTTTTATTTTTTTTGATGGGGCAGAGTTCGTCGAAATGTCCTCCACAGGGTCTCTTTATAAATTTGCAAATGACGTTTGATGAAAGATGATTTATTCACCTCTGCCACTGTGCCGATAGAAATGATGACAACAGCTATTTTATACTAACTTTAATTTATGCAAGAATTTCTCACAACAGGGTAGATTTTGTTAGCCATTTTTCGCAAATACCGAGGTAGATCAGTTTGTCACAATACATGGGCCCAAAGAGTGGCAAACAGTTTTACATTTCAAACATATGTACATCTAAAGGAAATTGCCAATGCCTATGTATAACAGTAAGTTATATAAATTAGGCTTACTACTGAGTAAGGGGAGATAACCAATCTATGGGTGAGCTGGGACTAGATACATGTCTACGTACTGCATTATGGTCCATGCTAGATCTACATTGATATAAACAACTTATGTCACATGATTAAACATGATGTCACATGCTCCCAAGAACTGAAGTCACACAAAATACTCTTTGAGATTTTATACTTGTGTAACATCGTGAGACTTTTATCTTGATTATGTCAGGGGTTGACACTAACACTAGTCCGCTAGTCCTAGCGAGGACTAGTGAATCACCTAACCTAACTGGTCCTCTGGACTTGTGAAAAATATGATTATAAAATAAGAAGATTCCTTTTTAAAATTTAGAAACTGCTTAAAATAAGACACATTGCATGATAATTGTCAAAATTTTCCTAAAACTTCACCATATTTTACATTTTTTTATGGCAGTAGTTATTTGAAGTCCCCTACAGGTGATTACTTTTTCTGTTTTGTGCTATAGATTGCGATGCGAGGAAATCTTGGCCTAGTTACATTGACGAAGGACTAGTAAATATTATATTACACTAGTCCTGTGGACTACCAAGCAAAAAAGTTAGTGTCTAACCCTGTATGTATCGTTCAATACTCACATCCATTAACGATACCATCAAATTTAGTCAACATGGACAAAATTCTGTAGTGAGAGGCTATTTATACACACATATTTTTGGGAAACTTACGCACCATTTTTCTTGCGAGATTTTGCAATTTCTTGGGCCAATGGAAAACAAATGATGATTTAGTTCCTGTTGTGGAAATTGGTCAAATATAAAGTTTGAAATTAAATGGTCCAGTGCAGTTTTTTCTCTCAAAGAGACCCTCGGAAAACATTCTGACTGACCTTCATCCCATGAAATATGTCAGAACAGGTACATGTAGTCAGTTATTTCAGACCAGAAAAGCTATGCTCTTTTCAGGCTGTGCCTTTTTCATATATCAATTATTAAGGTTGCTTAAAACAATTTATTTTACTTAATTAAGCTGGGTTTAAACTCAGAAAATATATCAATTTGATAAAAAAAAAAAGCATAAAAAAGAAAGTCTGGGATATTTTTAATCTTAAAGAAAACCAATCATAACTTAAAATACCAAATCTAGGGAAATTTCAAAACAGATATTAAGGGCTTTGGATAATCCAGTACACTTTTCTGATTAGGATATCTTTTTCTTCTTCTTCTCGATAATGATACGTCTTCAAAATTGAAGTTTTAATGTGATATGTTGGTTAAAATTTTTGGAACGGAACCTTTTTTTTAATTTTATGTGTTAAAGGGACATCATGTGAAAATGATTTTTTTTATAGTGTCTTTTTTCCAAATAATGCATAAATGTATAAAGTGTATGTCCTAATGGAGAATGATGGTCGGATTTCGCTGAAATTTATTCATAAAAATGTTTAACTTATAATATAATTTAGACGTCTGACCAACATTTTTTACAGTAGTTTTTGCGTCACATCTAACATCGCATGCGCATATATATATATGTCGGTAGGAGAACAGAGCAATATATAACTGTAAAGACCTATATTGGCTGTATCGACCTGTCTGAAATAGGTCTTTTGCCACCGAGTTGGTTTTAAAAGAAGACTTTAACCCTATTTTGATTTCAAAAGACATCAAATAAAACCACTCTTTTAAGAAATGTTGATAGAGAAAATTTTACATTAATTTATGAATAATGAAAGTACTATAAGCCTATAGTTTTATGTAAATTAGATTTATTTATTTTTTAAACTTAAATCACAATACAGCTATAGATTATATGTGGATATAACTATATAGATATTTACAGTTATAAAGCTCAATCGGCACTGTGCTGGATCTGTATACACGTATACGTTGGAGGAAGTATAAGTTGTGAACTTGTATGTGGGTTTGGGGGTTAAATAGCCTGCTTTAGTTTGCGTTATGTTGCCACCATTTTATCAAATCTATTGTAAATATGTCAATGAAACATACGCGAAAATATCTATAGTTCAGAGTGAAGGTAAATTAATTGGAAGTAAGTGCCAATCTCCATGTTTACAAACAGCTGGGAAACTGACGTTAGCCGGCGTCGATTTTAATCGTAATGAAAGTAAATTTACCGGATCCTAAAAGCGATGGTTCACTTTGAATAACAGGCATCAACACATTTGGATGATCTGGGGGATTAAGAGTCAGCCCTCCTCCTGCAGGCATAAACAAAAGCGGCGGAGGGGTCGAGTCTTTGGCGTTTCTGTCTGCCATTTCCAATGCAACACGTCATGTAGAACTCTTTTGTCAGAAAAAGTACAAAGACGTGTCAAGTGATTGATAGTCAGAAAAACGTTTGAATCAGACATTGACAATCATTAAGCGCTATACAAACTAAGACATCCCAGTGGTGTTTTCATTTTTTGGCTTTTCATTTTATGGCTTCCAAAATAACGTGTTTCTGACTTTCAAAACAATGACAACCAACGCTCCAGAAGTTGAGAACTTGACAAGCATGGAAGATATAACAGAGCCAGAGGATGCACATTTTCCAAAGAAACCTGAAAGTAAGCGAATCTGACAATAAACTCTATAACTGATGAATGTTAACACATCAGGCCTATACCTGTCGGAACCGGCGTTTGAAGTGTATGGCTTCGTATGGTAACACGAGAATTATTTGATGATCGAATAAGCATAAATATATGCCTAATGTACTGCTCTTTAATTTCGTATGTGACAAAATCATCATTAACACTACTCAAGCATCAGCCATATGCATACTCTTTAGTCTGATACTCACCTATAGCCTATCATCCCCACAGGTGCTCGGGTTCTGGAATATATGTGATATATTATCGCAACCCTCTAGATATCGCACCCCCTTACTAATAAATCATACCCTAACCCTATGATTTATTAGTAAGGGGGTGCGATATCTAGAGGGTTGCGATAATATATCAAATATATTCCAGAACCCGAGCACCTGTGATCATCCCTATGCTTGCATATATCATACACTGGCCATGGTGAGTATGGCAGATCGCAGTGTTAGCAATGATCTTATCACAGGCATTGTACAAATGTACATGTAGTAGTGTAGGTATGTAAACATTAAAAACTGTCAATAACTGCAGGCTTAGACATTCTGATTAGTCACATGTTTAACATAATTGGTCCAATCAATGGTGATAAGGTAGCACAGGCTTTTGCTCCTGTCAATAAAAATGGTCCTGACAATAAGAAGTCACACCATACTCATATAAAATAGAATTAATACAATAAAAAATACACACAACTCTAAGGGTTCATTAACCAATTTATTATTGAAATAACTGAATAATGCGTGTAAAAAACTACAACATGAAATGCATACAATTAAAAAACAATTTCATAATACTCTCACACTATATTCATGCTGTAATTTCTGTTAAACCATTCTGTCAATTATTACATGTATTCCTTACAAAAGATTATAAAAAGATCACATGAAACTGTTTTCCATAACTCTAATAATTCAAAAGTATCAAAAGTTGAACATGTTTCATAAATTCATCTCCATATTTATTACTTGCTATACAATGCTTATATATATTATATATAATACATAGACAAACATATACAAGATACCTGCCACCTCTTCTTAATGAAGAGGGTTTTCACACAATCGCCATTACACAAGTTACATGCATATGGCGGTCTTAATTACATGTATGTCTTTCATCTGTGTTCTATTTCCTACACAAATATAATGTAAACCACATATAAATAAAATATTGTTCAGTAGGATCAGTTTTATATTTGAAACAAGAATCTGACCAAAAATGGCTTCCGGTATGCCGAAAAAAATCCAAAATTCCAAAAATGTTATTACTTCAAAAATTAAACTAATTCAACTAATTAAAAATGTTACTTTTATACTGTTCAATAACTTACGAAAACAAATATGTTAATATAAGTACTTGCATTTCAATTCTAGATCTTCCAATACCAAATCTCTAGACTCTAAATTGGTGATCGCTATGATCAACACTGACCACAACGTGCCAAAAGTAAAACTTAAACAATGACCACAGTAAATAAAACAAAACACGTGACCCAAACAAACAGGTTTACAACACATCACGTGACTCTTACACAACATTCACTTTCTTCATACTTATGACACGTGGGTTAAAAGTATCACAATATGGATGGCTGTTTTCCACGGCACACATACATGTATATATTAAAATCGTAAAATATACAAAATAGTCAATATTACTAAGGAGCTAAGGAGAGTTTGACTAAATCTTTGTGCCTTATACAATGTACACTTGAACTGTGTTGATGCATTAAAACATTACAGTATAATGTACTTTGTAAAAATTATGACCCAACAAAAACACTTCTTGACTGAAAATAACAAAATTTTAGCTTTTAATAAAATCTAAATAGTATTATAGTACATGCATTGTTTATATTGAAGTTATCTCCATGTCATGTCAGATTAAAAACAAATTAGTATTACTGGGTACCTGTAAGATATATATCTGTTTTCAGAACTGTCTGTGTTTGGGTATGTGACATCAGAATTGACAAGAGGATATATGCTGGAGCGAGATAAGGTCAATTTTACCGAGCGACGCCAGAGAGTCTACACAATTATGAAAACTCCAAGAGAGTTAGAAAAGGTAATACTTGTTAGCTAAATTTTATAGATAGTATGACAAATAAAGTAATTTTATGGCATTTTTGATATGTTTGAAAAAAATCTCAGCCAAGATTTAATAGTAATGCATGTGGAATGTATGTTATAAAAAGTAGTATCAGGGCCAAGTTATTTAGGAAATAGAAATAATCTACTTAACTAATTTAGACTATACATTTTTTGTTCATTTGTGTTGCATTCTTTAAATTTTATAGAGTGCATTTGCCATGGTATCTATATTTTCGGTTTGTCAACTTTCGTAGCTATATCTTGCCAGGTATTCATATTTCGACTTCAAAGTTTTGTGTGATTAATAAATTTGGTTTTGAAAACATTTGTGTTTTTACTTAAAAATTCAATTTATAAATAAAACAATCTACATTTTCTTTGACAGTTCATCGTGTTTGGGTTTTTCCAATTAGTGGATGCTTTTCTATTCTTGTTCACATTCCTGCCTTTGAGAATTGTCCTTGCCTTGTTGAAGATTATCACACATCCTTGTGGCTTCCTCATGCCAAAGTAAGATTGACACAGAATTCAATCTGTGATAACTGTACATAACTCATAACAATGCAACGAATCAAATAACAGCTTATTCAAAGCAAGCATAATTGCTATCTTAATATTAGGTTCATGACTTAAGTCTGAAGATGACAATAATATTGATATCTTACATTATAACTTTACTGAACATTGTGGTGTTTTCAGTAAAAAAAAATAAAGTTTGATACAGGAATTATTTAAATTGTAGGAATAGTGTCAACATAAATAATGCCTTGCATTTGAATAAAGAAAATGATTATATTGCTTCTTAAAATTGAGAAAGTTTTATTCAATATGATGTATTCTAAAATATTTCAAGATTTCCTTTTTCATTCATGTTTTAGGTCTCCAAAGGTTTTAGAACCAGCTCAAATTTGTGATATATTGAAAGGTATCATCCTTCTAGTATCATTCTTCATCATCAACTATATTGACACATCTATGATGTACCATTTGGTACGAGGCCAGGCCATCGTCAAACTCTACGTCTTTTTCAATATGCTTGATGTAAGTATATTAATGAAAACATTAATGGTGGTTTGCACATTATACATGTGGTTTGTGATAGAGTTATCTCCCTTATACATAAATACTGCCTTACACATTATACCTGTGGTTTGTGATAGTTATCTCCCTTATACATAGGTAGCATTGTACAGTAGCGTACGGTGGCCATGGGTGATATTTTTATACAATGAATAACCCCTGTTATATAACATGTATCAATTTTTTTTTTTTAAATCAGCACTAAAATTGGCATATACATGATGAAGAGGATTATGTGGGCTTTATAATTTAAAAAAAAAAAAAAACGAATTTGGTTTGAGACTACAGTTTTGGGCATTTACAAATCTGTGTCTACACAACAAAAGCTAGCTTTTCATGTAGTCTATTTTTGTACTCGGCACATGTGTAAATACTGTGAAAAATCCACCGGAAGACCTATGCTAAAACACGAGTATTTCTGTTACCGAGTAGGCGATATTTAATTTCAGACAGGTTTTAAGAAAGAAAAATCTACTTGCAGGGGTCAAATTTTGGTTTAAAATCTCTCTTTTTGTGCATATTTTGGTGTTTTTTGATGTGGTAACCATGGTTTTCACAAGTCCCAAATCTGGGGAAATCACTTTTTGAGAAAATGGCCCAGGTGATTTGTGATAAAGTTATCCCCCACTATGAAAATGCTGTGGTAGCAGAGTACAGTAAAAATGGTATGATCCTTAAAATAAAGGGCATGTCTCAGAAAGACATGGATAGTGGATTCAACCTGCACAACACATCTACATATATATATATATATGTATAAACTACGTTTTGAATACATTTTGTTTAGAATACTGATTCTTTTTTCAAAAACTGTTTTCCCCAGATTTGGGACTTGTGAAAACCATAAAAAAAACACCAAAAAAGCAAAATAATATGATTTTTAACCCAAATTTGACCCCCCGCAAATAGTAATGCTTTTCTTAAAACCTGTCTAAAATTAAACATTGCCTACTCGGTAACAGAAATACTCACGTTTTAGCATTGGTCATTCCAGTGGATTTTTCACAATATTTACGCATGTGCCGAGTACAAAATTAGACTATATGAAAAGCTAGCTTTTGTTGTGTAGACACAGATTTTTAAATGCCCAAAACTGTAGTCTCAAACCAAATTCGATTTTTTTTTTGAATTATGAAGCCCACATAGTCTACTTCATCATGTATATGCCAATTTTAGTGCTGATTTTTTTTTGATACATGTAATATTACAGGTGTTATTCATTGTATAAAAATATCACCCATGGCCACCGTACGCTACTGTACACTGCTACCTGTCTTACACATTGTGATAGAGTTATCTCCCTTTATGATAATGCTGCCTTACACATTATACAGGTGATTTGTGATAGAGTTATCTCCCTTTGTGATAAATACCGACTTTCTTATCTCCCTTTATTATAATACACATTATGTCTAGAAATAACAGCATTACATGAGGGTTAATTATCAATGAACTTTTTCTGTTCAATTAATTAATGAAGCTAAGTTAAAATGGTAGAAACAAAAGAGATGTTAATTTTTTACTGCATCATTATTGTCCTTCCTAGATGGCTGACCGCCTATTCTCCAGTTTTGGCCAGGACATATTGGATTCACTTTACTGGACAGCCATGGAACCCCGGGACAAGAAACGTCAGCATTTTGGAGTGATTCCCCATCTTCTATTGGCTATCTTGTATGTCAGTATCCTTCTTCATCAGTTTTAAACCCATCACAGTTAGTATGTTTTCTTGTGTATGTTTTGTATAGTTTTGCGTCATGTCTTTCCGTCCTTTCATCCTTCGGCTATCTTGTCCGGGCTCTATCTCTTACACTACTTGTCACTGGAACTTCATACTTGGGGTATGGGTTCATCTTGGTGAGGCAGTGTGTCGTGTATCAAAAGTAGGTCACTCTCACCTACATTTTGACCTTTGACCTACATCAAAGAAAAAGTTTGTCCGGGCTCTATCTCCTACACTACTAATCACTGGAACTTCATACTTGGTGTATGGGTTCACCTTTGTGAAGAGGTTTGCTATGTATCAAAAGTATGTCACTCTGACCTACATTTTGACCTTTGATCTACATCAAAGAAATAATGTGTCCTGGCTCTATCTCCTACACTACTAGTTACTGGAACTTCTTGCTTGGGGCATGGGTTCACTTGCATTGAAGAAGAAGCATACATAGTGTCACCAGATGCCATTTAATAGTAAAACGGTACCGCTAACCAGTAAACATCCTCCAGATTTATTTGCAATAGTAGCACTGACACTATTCCTTATTGAATACAGTGGGTCTGTCAAACATTCATATATAGAATTAGTTCCTGCACAAATTTATCAGCTGTGCATTTCACATTCGGTGGGGGACTGTAATTCGCTAAATCGTCTTGTTCCCCTTTTATTCATTGTCATCAGAAAAAAGTTACCACGATGCCTTATCAACCGTTTTTAGTTTTAGGGGAGAGGTAAATATGATATATAAACCTAAAAAAGTAATATTGACCTATGTTGGCCTCGGTTAATGTAATTTTTCCAGGTCCATATCACATAATAAAGGTCCATAATTGTATGTTATACACCTTAACTGTATAAGTTATACATTGTTTGCTGATCCTGTTCCAAGCCACGGTGCTCAACGTTGCCTTCAACTCACACAATAAAGCTCTCCTTACCATCATGATGTCAAACAATGTAAGTATAGCTGACTTCTCTATAGTATGGTATAGTGACTCTGTAGTAAGGTCCCTAATACTGTACACTCTTGTTANGGTTCACTTGCATTGAAGAAGAAGCATACATAGTGTCACCAGATGCCATTTAATAGTAAAACGGTACCGCTAACCAGTAAACATCCTCCAGATTTATTTGCAATAGTAGCACTGACACTATTCCTTATTGAATACAGTGGGTCTGTCAAACATTCATATATAGAATTAGTTCCTGCACAAATTTATCAGCTGTGCATTTCACATTCGGTGGGGGACTGTAATTCGCTAAATCGTCTTGTTCCCCTTTTATTCATTGTCATCAGAAAAAAGTTACCACGATGCCTTATCAACCGTTTTTAGTTTTAGGGGAGAGGTAAATATGATATATAAACCTAAAAAAGTAATATTGACCTATGTTGGCCTCGGTTAATGTAATTTTTCCAGGTCCATATCACATAATAAAGGTCCATAATTGTATGTTATACACCTTAACTGTATAAGTTATACATTGTTTGCTGATCCTGTTCCAAGCCACGGTGCTCAACGTTGCCTTCAACTCACACAATAAAGCTCTCCTTACCATCATGATGACAAACAATGTAAGTATAGCTGACTTCTCTATAGTATGGTATAGTGACTCTGTAGTAAGGTCCCTAATACTGTAAACTCTTGTTATACTACAAACAATTGTCTTGTAAAGGATCAGCATTGTTAAGGGGTTTTGCAATATTTCTTTATGTTGAAGAAGACAAATNCTGTCAAACATTCATATATAGAATTAGTTCCTGCACAAATTTATCAGCTGTGCATTTCACATTCGGTGGGGGACTGTAATTCGCTAAATCGTCTTGTTCCCCTTTTATTCATTGTCATCAGAAAAAAGTTACCACGATGCCTTATCAACCGTTTTTAGTTTTAGGGGAGAGGTAAATATGATATATAAACCTAAAAAAGTAATATTGACCTATGTTGGCCTCGGTTAATGTAATTTTTCCAGGTCCATATCACATAATAAAGGTCCATAATTGTATGTTATACACCTTAACTGTATAAGTTATACATTGTTTGCTGATCCTGTTCCAAGCCACGGTGCTCAACGTTGCCTTCAACTCACACAATAAAGCTCTCCTTACCATCATGATGNTGCTGTATGGAGTTTTTATTGTACAGTCAAATGTAATTACAGTAAAAATTATCTGAACTCAGATATAACCCACTCACCTTCCCAAATCAAATACTGGGCATGTCAAGTTTTAATATGTAGGGGTGAATGAGTTAAAAGGGGCTGAATTGTTTTATAGGTAAAGTCTAACTTTATTTAAATCACTGGATTATTGGCCAGGTAAGACTTTATTCAGTAAACCAAGCTTTACCAACATCAAGAGGACTGAATTATAAGACAATGTAATAGAATCACTCTCTCTCTCATGGACCTTAAGGGGACTGGATTATTGTGTAGATAGCTAATGTTTCAGTAAACCAAATATCACCAATATAAATGGCAACTGGATTATTTTGTCTAATTACCGGGAAATATATGGATTTTGGTAAATTGTCATGTTTTGGATGTTACAGTTTGTAGAAATTAAGGGCAGCTTGTTTAGGAAGATAGACAAGGAGTTATTGTACCACATCTCCTGTAGTGATGTCAAGGAGCGCTTCCATTACACCATACTGCTGGCCGTCGTCTTCATTCGCAACATGACTGAGTTCAACTGGAACATAGGTGAGTGTCATTACCACTGGAACTCCTAAGGGGGGTCATGACCCCTTCAATGATAACTTAGCAGGGAATGATAACTCGATGCGACATTTTGGAATTTTACATTACAGCAAATTCACAATGTTCAAGGCCTGAATGAAATACGGGTATGTGAAATAAAAACCTGAAATAAGTAAAGAAACCCTACTGATAGAGTTTGTTTGAACAGTTGGCTATTACCTCTGATATGTTGTTTGTAATAAGAAATGGCCAGTATCAAAACCTTGGAAGGTTGACCCAATACAAAGCTAAAATTTCATATATAAAGTACTTAGCCCTTTGGTAGATTTTGAAAAATGTTACTAGCCCAACCTATCTATTCATAGTAAAAAAAATCACAAACCTAAAACCTCTTAGCCCCCAGCACAAAGCTAGTGGAATATTACACCCATGCAGCACAATTTAAAAGCTACCAGTAAACAGTACTCTCAAGCTTCTTTATGGTAATTAGGATTTCTGTTGATTTTGTAAAATGAATGTTGTTGATTTTCCCATTAACAGAACATGTGTGGGTGATCATCCCTGATGCCGTGATTGTGTTGTGTGCTGAGCTCTGTGTGGACTGGGTCAAACATGCGTTTATCCTCAAGTTCAATGAAATGCCTGCTGATGTGAGTAAAATGATATAGATATATACAGCTAGTATGTACCAGGACATTTTCTCCATTCCTTTATCTTATAATTCACTGCATGTGATATAATAGGTATTTCCCTGAAAACATGGTTTTTGGCAACCTTTTGTAAACATATTTGCTGACATGATTTATTTCTGTATAGAAATTAATTAACAGGCATGGTCGATCTTAAGATCTGTAATTAGTGACTGTTGTTTCATCCACAAGCTTAAGAAGCTTCATTATGCTTGGGAAACTGTTAAATATTTTCAGCAGTGTTGTAGAGCAAAATATCATCAGGTCGGCTGAATGTTCACTTAATTCGTGTCATTGCTTAATGTATCGAAGCAAATTTAGAAGTCTGACAAAGAGTTTTGGTGAAGGTTTTTTCAAAGCGGAAGAAATCTCATCTGTTTGATAATTCTTACAGTAGAATCTCAAAAGTGAATATTTTTTCATAGATTGCTATAACTCAGTGCAAAATGCACTGTAAATGGTATTAAAACAATTCAGCATTCCTTGACAGATTTATCACACGTACAAAGTGCGGCTATCTGAGGATATGATCTCCAACCGACAAAGTAGGGTAAGTTTAATGAGGTTTACTCACCGTCCTCACTAAATATGATTGTTTATGCTACATATCATAGTTAGCAATCTGTCTCTATAAACTATTTTCTGGATCATATTTTCTGTACTATCTGTACTGTCAAAGAAACGAAAGACCAGAAATATATTGTTTACAAACTGTTGTACTGGTTGGGTTAAGTTGAAGATTTAGGATATCTGTCTTGATTTTCATTTTGTAGATCATTTTCATTCATAAGTTGATAGAATGTTTTGGCTTTTGTATTAAGGGATTGATTCCATCTGACACAAAAATTGGATACAAATGGGATATGATTTAATAGATAACAGTCTTTACTTAATTTTTTCAGCCAAGTTAAACTATGATATACATGTATAACAATCATTGTTATGAACATTTTTTTTGTGCTATGTACACTACTCCTTTTTTTAACATCTTCACCCCTGAAGTCACATTTGAACCTTACCACATCAAAGACTGGACAAGTCCAGTTTAAATATGTAGGGATGAATGAGTTAACCTTCCTTCCTTTATACTCCTTAGGCGTACATAGACTACTCGGACATGGTGGCGAGAAGAATGGGCTTCACACCTCTACCCCTGGCTTGTCTCCTTGTTAGGATCTGTACAAAGTCGTTCAAGGTCACTGGCACTACTGGTGCTCTTGTTGTCTTCCTCCTGTTTTTATGGTAAGTCTGAGTTGTGAGCACAAATTGAAGTTTTGATTGTAAAGTAAAACTGAAACAGAAACCATTTGGAGGTCTACCTGAGTAGTTGTTATTGTTTCTGTGAAGGGACATGAAATAAGCTGAGGTATTATCACTACAAGTCCTTTCTTATAATATGTATAATAATCAAACATTTTTCGAATGAGTGTTCTTTTAGTAATGGTGTAAGTATTTGACAAAGTTTTGAATTTAATTTTGTTTATATATTGATTTGTTCTGAAGCATTGAAATGGGATGTCTTCCTCCTTTTTCATTTCATCCTCCTTCACTTTTTCCAAAATTACGTTCCTGATGAAATTATTTTTTAAGTACAAATATATGTTTGTATACCCAGTATTTTGATTTCATAATTAACAAACCAACTTTTTTTTCTTCTCAGTCTGATAACCTTCAAGATCTTGAACAGCATAATCCTGTTGGGCCAAGCTACTGAGATGACGGCCGACCCCGGGAGTAAAGCGCCCGAGGATAAGTCCATGTACAAGGATGTTCCCCCCTCATCTCCCATACACAGGTCTAAGTCAGACCAACACTTACAGATCTCCCACACAGGAGAGTTCTCCTCCACAGACACCATCTCTGCTGACAATCAGAAGGAAATGGATCATTCCTGTGGCAAAACTTCACGTAGTAAAAGTGAGACAGATATCACCATTTGTGCTTCACATGAAAAGCAGTCATCGTTCCAAATTGAAACCATGTCAGTATCTTTAAATAAAAATGTGACTTTCTCCGAAGGGTTTGTAGACCCTGATAAAACCACTATAGATAAAACAGATTCAGAAGGAGAGACTGTTCTAAGTGAGAAAAGGTACAGCTCAAAACATGATGAAAAAATCTTTCCATCCTTTAATTTTGGTGAAATAAAACAAAGAAACGTTTCAAAGGACTGATAAGTGAAATATGGTTATTGTTGATAGTTAAATTATTGTACACCTGGACCACTATTAAACTCTATAGAGTTTGTCGCAACAGTGACCGGTAACATTTTATGTGTTTGTTTTCTTCTGCTAGCAGCTACTGTTTATTGATAATGCTAGGGCCATATTGTTTGTCAAAGAGCAGAAACTGGTAATTGTGGAAAAATGATTTTTTTCAAAAGAAAATATTACCTTTGTGATGGAGTACTTTGTGATGGAGCAGTTAAAATCAAGCTAGGAATCGTGGGAATCAAGATGTTTCAGAACGACTTGGGATGAAATAATAAATTATCTGATAAATAGCTCCAAAGTATCCATCAATTGTTTTGAGTGCCAAGTACTATATTTTATATGGTGTTAATGCTTTCATATAGGTGCCTGTCAGCCTTGTGACATCTCAGAAATAGTCAATCTACCATAAACCTACAAACACTGTAGACAGAGGGGCTACAGAGGCCTAGTGGTTAAGGCGTCGGACATTCTGCTACCACTAGCCCTACACCACTGGGTCGCGGTGGCCAGGTGGTTAAGGGGGCTACAGAGGCCTAGTGGTTAAGGCGTCGGACATTCTGCTGCCACTAGCCCTACACCACTGGGTCGCGGTGGCCAGGTGGTTAAGGGGGCTACAGAGGCCTAGTGGTTAAGGCGTCGGACATTCTGCTCCCACTAGCCCTCCACCACTGGGTCGCGGTGGCCAAGCGGTTAAGGCGTCGGACAGTCTGCTACCACTAGCCCTCCCCCACTGGGTCAGGGTGGCCAAGTGGTTAAGGCGTCGGACAGTCTGCCACCACTAGCCCTCCACCACTGGGTCGCGGTGGCCAAGTGGTTAAGGCGTCTGCCAGTCTGCTACCACTAGCCCTCCACCACTGGGTCGCGGTGGCCAAGTGGTTAAGGCGTCGGACAGTCTGCTCCCACTAGCCCTCCACCACTGGGTCAGGGTGGCCAAGTGGTGAAGGCGTCTGACAGTCTGCTACCACTAGCCCTACACCACTGGGTCGCGGTGGCCAAGTGGTTAAGGCGTCTGCCAGTCTGCTACCACTAGCCCTCCACCACTGGGTCGCGGTGGCCAAGCGGTTAAGGCGTCGGACAGTCTGCTACCACTAGCCCTACACCACTGGGTCGCGGTGGCCAGGTGGTTAAGCCGTCGGACAGTCTGCTACCACAAGCCCTACACCACTGGGCCGCGGTGGCCAGGTGGTTAAGGCGACAGACAGTCTGCTACCACTAGCCCTACACCACTGGGTCAGGGTGGCCAAGTGGTTAAGGCGTCGGACAGTCTGCTACCACTAACCCTACACCACTGGGCCGCGGTGGCCAAGTGGTTAAGGCGTCTGACATTCTGCTACCCCTAGCCCTCCACCACTGGGTCAGGGTGGCCAGGTCGTTAAAGCGTCGGGCAGTCTGCTACCACTAGCCCTACACCACTGGGTCGCGGTGGCCAGGTGGTTAAGGCGTCTGACAGTCTGCTACCACTAACCCTACACCGCGGGGCCGCGGTGGCCAAGTGGTTAAGGCGTCGGACATTCTGCTACCACTAGCCCTACACCACTGGGTCGCGGGGGCCAAGTGGTTAAGGCGACAGACAGTCTGCTACCACTATCTCAGAAATAGTCAATCTACCATAAACCTACAAACACTGTAGACAGAGGGGCTACAGAGGCCTAGTGATTAAGGCGTCGGACATTCTGCTACCACTAGCCCTACACAACTGGGTCGCGGTGGCCAAGTGGTTAAGGCGTCTGCCAGTCTGCTACCACTAGCCCTCCACCACTGGGTCAGGGTGGCCAGGTCGTTAAAGCGTCGGGCAGTCTGCTACCACTAGCCCTACACCACTGGGCCGCGGTGGCCAGGTAGTTAAGGCGTCTGACAGTCTGCTACCACTAGCCCTACACCACTGGGCCGCGGTGGCCAGGTAGTTAAGGCGTCTGACAGTCTGCTACCACTAGCCCTACACCACGGGGCCGCGGTGGCCAAGTGGTTAAGGCGTCTGACATTCTGCTACCACTAGCCCTACACCACTGGGTCGCGGTGGCCAGGTGGTTAAGGCATCTGACATTCTGCTACCACTAGCCCTACACCACTGGGTCGCGGTGGCCAAGCGGTTAAGGCGTCTGACAGTCTGCTACCACTAGCCCTACACCACGGGGCCGCGGTGGCCAAGTGGTTAAGGCGTCTGACATTCTGCTACCCCTAGCCCTCCACCACTGGGTCAGGGTGGCCAGGTCGTTAAAGCGTCGGGCAGTCTGCTACCACTAGCCCTACACCACTGGGTCAGGGTGGCCAAGTGGTTAAGGCGTCGGACAGTCTGCTCCCACTAGCCCTCCACCACTGGGTCAGGGTGGCCAGGTCGTTAAGGCGTCGGACAGTCTGCTACCACTAGCCCTCCACCACTGGGTCAGGGTGGCCAAGGGGTTAAGGCGTCTGACAGTCTGCTACCACTAACCCTACACCGCGGGGCCGCGGTGGCCAAGTGGTTAAGGCGTCGGACATTCTGCTACCACTAGCCCTACACCACTGGGCCGCGGTGGCCAGGTAGTTAAGGCGTCTGACAGTCTGCTACCACTAGCCCTCCACCACTGGGTCAAGGGTTTGAGGCCTACATAGGGCAGTCGTCAGGTACTGGCTGTAGGTTGGTGGTTTTCCCCCGGGAACTCCGTCTTTCATCAACGACAAAAACCTGGCACATCCTTACATGTAAATGACTATAGCTGTTAATAGGACGTAAAACACAAACAAATGTTCTTTATGGACCAGTCATGATGTTGAAATTTTATTGTATGGACAATATATAATTCTATTCAAGTCTAAGACTTTTTCAAATTATTTTTCATTTTCATTTTTAGCTTAAAACACGTTTTTTTTTCTTTTTCTTTTGGAAATTTAGTCAATAAATTGAAGAAGGAAACAGCACCTTGTTTCTGGGTTGGTGGTTATGTATTTGGGGTACTTTTATAAGCTGCTTTACGTTAGATATTGTTACAGTTTTTTTGAGCAATTTTAAAATTTACAGACTTTGTCTTAATCATGCTTAAATCACCATTTTTCTGTCAGGACAGTGAAACTGATTGATCTACGAGTTGGACAGATAACTGTGATGTAAAACCAGGTAAAGTGTGTTTGTTAAGGAGAATTCAGCTTGTTGTAAATTATATCTAACTTATAGAGATTTCAGCTTCTTGTTATACATTGTCCATTGTAAGAATGTATTCACCTCTTCACAGTCATTATGCTTAAAGTATCTTTTTACTCTCAGGAAATTAAGGGGTTAAATAAATTTAAAGGTTGGAGATTTGATTTGATGAATGTCTGTGATAGAGTTGTAAATTACGTTTTATATATACATGTGGTGGTCGGTGGTGTATTGGATAACCCTCACCTTTCACCAATACGGGCGGGTTTGATTCCCTGATCGGACGTAAAAAGGTATTGGGAAACCTGCCTGAGCATGTGGGTTTTCTCCGGGTGCTCTGGTTTCCTCCCACATTAGGACCCTATGCACACTTCCATTAGGGCCAACAAGGGTGATTAATATAAGTTAGAAAACTTGTTTCATAATTGTGTAAAATAAATTAAGTTTATATACATACATGTAGTGATGGAAGGCACATTATTTCTCCACAAACAATTTTTCTTTCAAGATAATCTTTGATAACTATACTATGGTCAATATTACATTTGATTCCTGGAGTTTCATTTACTATATGCTTTATTGTTTTTTCCTGGGAGAGGTGGGGGCAATGATTGACAGGACAGGTCCGGCTCTGTTATCACCAACACATTATAATGTCCACATAAACCTCAATTTGAGCTCAAGTCTACTTGCGATGTATTTTGAAATCATTCCCAGATTTTATTAAAAATAAATATAGGGTACTGTACTAACTGTACTGACAGGAAATGTATGATCATTTCACTTACAATCTTAAACTTACAATTTACAGGTAATCATCTCTAATAGTGTTGCCTAGCAACTAATTCATTGTAGAACTACACAATATAGAAATAAGTGTTTGCTTGATGTGAATGGTGCTTGACTTAAATGAACAGAAAATCTGCCAACAAAACCTGGTACAAACACATAACTCCTGCACTGTACTTGTACATTGAATGCGTCAAACAGGCAAAATCTTAATAAAACATATTTTCATTGTTTGTATGATTCAATTATCAAATTGTTTTTGCTCAATAGAGAAATGTGATAAATGTGTTACAGTTTCCTCTGCTAAACTTGGTTTCTAAGTATTTGATAATGTCAACAAAATATCACCAAATCTCACAACAAAAAACATTTCAGTCATCTCTATACAGATTTCATAATAGGATACGTAATGGATGCAGGCGTTTTACACCTTTGTCAATATCTTACAAATTAATACATTGATTTAAAAGTCGCCTCTTTCTGTGGAGTATGATATGTAGCTAGCCTGATGATAAAAGTTTAGTTCACGATTGTTTCATTGATTGTCCAAGCTCATTCTATACACTCTAGCAGCTGCTCATGGAAAATCCTGGCATATCCAATATATTTTACAAATCCTATTCTAAAACATCTACAACTTAATATATAGCATAATATATTTGAGAGTCATCCAGTTTTATTAAAGGTGAGAGAAAAAGTATGGACAAGCTTATGGGAAGGTGAATGGTGTGATAATTGAGGAATATTTTCATATTTGATTGAAATTACCAGTAACCTTTTCTTGGGATGTCTCGGGGTAAGTGAAATTACCAGTAACCTTTTCTTGGGATGTCTCGGGGTAAATGAAATTACAAGGTAACCTTTTCTTGGGATGTCTTAGGGTAATTGAAATAAGGAGAGTTAGAAAATTTTGTTAAACACTGTGTTGACAATCTTGACAAAATGGAAACCAAATGTTTGGTATATTGCCATATGTTTGTATGTGTTGTTGTTAAGTGCTTGATTTGAATTAAGATGAGGATCTTTGTAGATTTACAATTTACAACTCATTACATGTTTATATCTATAGTTTACGCGTATTGCCTGTCGGGTAATTAATGTGAATGTTCTATTAGCTAGTCAAGGTTTTTAAAAAACGCTTACACGATAATACTGTTTGTGTGATGAAGCTTATTGTATATAACTTAAACAGAAATGTTCTCTCAGACTCCCTGACTGTGAACATTGACTATTTCACTGAAGTGTCAGATTAGCTAGTATAGCAGTCTCAAAATGTCACCTTCCTGTAATTTTCTGAATAAAACACTTTTTTTGCTTCGAGGTGATTTAGAATTTCCATATTTTTAGTTCCTTTTAACTAGTCAAATGAAGAGTAATGGTGTTCATTCATCAATACAGGTAGTGACATTGCATGTGTTATCCCTATTAAATTGTACACGAGTCTCGCCATTTTCTACTGTGTGCAGTCCTTCAAATTTTTCTTTTAAAAATATGTTATATCTCTAAATTCTTGCAAAGACAATTAAAGGTTGCAAGCTATTTTAAGGAGTACTAAACATTTTACAATACAATTCCCAGCAAGGCTGTAGAAGCATATCT